TTTTTTTATAATTTCAAATGTTTTCTACCATTTTCTAGAGCGATATAATAAACTATAAGCTAAGACCAGCTGATATAGTCGTCGTCTAGTCAGCAAGTCAAGTCTAAAGAGCTGAACGAGCTTTCTGTTGAGGTTAATCATTGAGAGAGCTGCTCACAAGAGCTTTCAAGTGTCAGTGCTCAAAGTGCAAAAGCAGAATCAAAAAGCACAAGAAATTCCATTCTGTGAAAAACCTCAGAGGCCACAGTATGAACCCAGAAGTGACTCCTGAACCACTGAGACCGTCCTAAAGAATCTGAGAAATGCATCATCTCAAAGCAAAACTGACCGTGACTCAACATTTTGGTGTATTTTGCAGAATTGGCCATTTTGGAAGCAGTAAAAGTTTTACATAAAGTCTACTAAAAAACATGACACACCCCCTGTAATCAAGCTGTTTGCTTCTCCTGAGCACATTTGAATTGCGTCACTTTAATGTGTTGCTTGGCTGTGAGTGGTGTGCATTCAGAGAGTGACATGTGGGCGGTGCGCTGATTATTTAGAGCCTTGGACGCTTCTCATTCCTGGCTGAGGTCACAGAAACTCTCAAAATTTTGAAAAGACAAACAAAAATTAATTTCACAACAGTGTTTCTTCATTATGTAAGTATTTGCCACGTGTCTGCTGTACGTCGTCCAGCTCGCTGAGGGGATCCAGATGTAGGCTTTGAAACATCCAACCTCTGGCCCGTAGGAGCCCTGAAAGGAGGGAATGCAACAGATTAAATGCACAGTTCAAGAAGCAAGCAACTGTGATAAAACACATAGAGAAGATGTTACCTGATGCAGGGATTTGAGAGAATCTCCTCATCAGAATGTCAATAATCTCAATAATTTAAATCTTCCTGTGGTTTACTGTCACCTACAAACATGTGGAACTAGAGTCACGCTTGTCTGGATGCTGTTAAACAAGCGCTGGAGCCTGCTCTCCATCCATCTCCTCAACAGCAACACAAACATCTGTAAAACATTTGTCCTCTCTCAGATAAGATTTCCTCATTCAGCTGTTTGCCTCCACGCCGAGCTTGTAAAGCACAACATTCTGGCCGGAGCTTGGAGCTGAGAGGAGCCGTTTTTGTTTTTTGTTTTTTTTGGTGCGAAGCAGTTTCTTCACCGTGGAATTGAAGTGTTCCTTCAAAGACGATGGACGTTCGAGGGCTTTGCTTGATGTTTTGCCTCCTGCTGCTGGCACACTGCTCGCCCCAGCAGACGCCCTCCAAGAAAAGAAACGGCAAGAAAGGTAGGAGCCGATATTAGCTGGAGACTGGAAATGAAAACAATGTCCTCGCTTGCTCTTTGAGTAACAGCTCTGCTATGCTTTGAATTCCGGTCTTCTGAACAGACTCTGCGACGAATGCTGCAATTGAAGAGCTAAAGAAACAGATTGATGACATTTTTCAGGAGCTCAACGTGCTGAAGGAGCAGCAGGCTTTACAGACAAGTATTCACCAAGCAAAACATGCTTCATAAATATTAAACAATCACATTTTTTTGGGATCATAATAAGTTGCAATAATAAGTATACAATGAAACCCAAAATTTGGATTAAGAGTGGATTTTTACTTGACCAAAAGTTTTTTTTCTGGCTGGAAATGACATAAACAAGTAAGAAAATATAGTCAAACATTGTGTCCAAAGCAATTATTCGCTGCCAAACTGTTTAATTCCAAACAATCTTTCATGTTTCCGCCGGGATTTTGTTCCTCTTTGTGATGATCTGCAGTTCTTTAAGCTTGAAGGCTTCCTCTCCATCACTCTGATCTTCAGTTCCTCCACAGATTCTCAATCATGTCTTGTTCACTCCAACATCTTCAAACTGTTTTCTGTTCATCATTTCTTCACCCCGTTGACTGTATGTGTCACATCATTATCTCGTTGGAAGGTCCAATGCTGCAGACTATCTGATGTTTTCTTCCAGAATCTTTAAGTCGTCCTCTTTTCTAACTCTGTTTACTTGTCCATCGGCTGGAAAACTCCCCCAAAGCATCACGTTCCGACAATCATGTTGGGCTTGAACGATTCTTCAAAAGCTGCGTCCTTTTGTCCAAACAACTCCATTTACATCTTGTCTGACCACTAAGTTGATAACAAAAGTTGCCCAGCTGAGCTTTTGTTTGTCTGTCTTGGAGAGGTGGAGTCTTCCTTGGTTGGCATCCATGGAGACCAGTCCTGTTCCGTGTCTGGTTGGAGATGTTGGTACCAGCTCAGCCCAGATCCATCAGGATGATCTTGGTGGTGATCTTTGGATTCTTCTTGACCTCTTGAACTATCATTCTTGCCACTGCAGGTGTCATTTTTGGCTTCCTACCACGCTCTTTGAGATGGCTCACAGTGTGGAAGGAACTCCTTGTGCTGTTCGATTACACTTTGCACTGTGGTCTCTGACTCTTAGATATGACTTAATAGCCTCACCAAGTCTTGTGTGCAGTGATGGATCCTAATTGCAGCTAATGGAGCTCTTTGGCTTCAGCCATGACTTTCAACTGACTGGTAGCTAGAGAAGTGCTGCATCAGCTCTTCTCAGTTTAAAGTGTATTAAAAAGCTCTCAAATATGGGAACAACTACAGGACCATAATTGACCAACAGCTTCAAGGCGAATTAGTGATTTTTTGTTAAAATGGAGGAAAAAAAAATCTCTATTAACCAAAATTTGGCACCAATATGAGTCATCTGAGGCTTAATTGTTTGCATAGAGTTGCAGGCTGCATGGTTGCTTTTAATCAAGAATTTAACAGTGTTCTAGTGATGAGAACCAAATTAGACAACAAAGATATCGAGGCCACTTTCTCCTAACTTTTCCTTCCAGTTTGTCTGAAAGGCACGAAGATCCTCCGCAAGTGTTTCCTGGCTGATCCGGGGAAGAAGAACTTCCACGCAGCCAGCGACGACTGCATCGCCAAAGGAGGCAGCCTGAGCACCCCTCTGACGGGCGATGAGAACGACCAGCTCTACAGCTACGTCCGCCAGAGCATCGGCCCAGACGAGCACATCTGGCTGGGCATCAACGACATGGTGACCGACGGCCAGTGGGTGGACCAGTCGGGCTCCAGCGTTCGCTTCAAGAACTGGGAGACGGAGATCACCCTGCAGCCGGACGGGGGGCGCAGCCAGAACTGTGCCATCCTGTCCACCACGGCCAACGGGAAGTGGTTCGATGAGAACTGCAGGGCTGAAAAGGCCTCTGTGTGCGAGTTCAACATTGTTTGAGAGATTCGTGTTTCGATTATGAACTTTAAGCGCCGCTTGCTGCAAAGAATGAAGATGCTATCAGGTACATTCATACATTGGAAAAAATAACACGCTGCGTCCTTCCTCGACTCTCGTTTCCTTGATCAGGTCGTCCAGATGTCACTTCAGAGAGATTTCACTCAGTGGTCAGGGATAACAGTGTGCCTTTGTATAAGCTAAACTCACTGGAACATGATATTTTACAGAGTTAAGCCCAAAATTGTTCATATGCATGCCAAGTTTAGGTTTATAGTGAACTTTTATTTAACCAACAGGGTTCTTCTGGCGGGAAGTTACAAAAAAAGTGACGAATGATGGTAAGATAGAGGTGATAGTGATGAATTTGAACTATTTCTTTCACATTTTTGCTATAAATTGTACCTTTTCTGTGCCAGTATAACTAGTCCTGGTCATTTCTACCACTTTCTAGAAGAGCTCGTGCAACTGTTCTCTTGTCACTTCAATGGAAGTCATGACTAAAACCAAAGAGCTCAGATAGCATGTTCAGAGTGATGCACATTTCGGGTGCTCACAAGATGAAGAAAGGCTATGAAGTCATATCCAAGGGAATTTTGAAATAACCATTAATCAAAAACATCTCTAACGCATTGTCTTACTGTCTTTTGTCACTTGTTATGTCATTTAAAACCAAAAGAACCCCCCCTCTCAAAGAAAAATCACAATTTAGGGCTTTACTGTGCTTTAAATAAATGTGGTCTCCATCACTTCAACATATTTTATACCATCTTAGATACTCATGAGGTAAATACCAGATGGCTTGTCTTTGTTTCATTTTTGCCTGAAGAACAATTATCATGTGTGCCTTTTTAAAAGTCAAGTTATGCTGCTTACGTTTCATTATATGGTGATAATAATAAACATGTATCTAATCACGTGATGCTCTCATTTTGTTCTTGCTCAAATAAAAAAAAAATCAGCAGATACATGGGAATAGTTTCTTCCTCACAGTAGGAAAAAGTGCTTCAAAAAATACAAATAAAGAATTAAGTGGTCCAAGTTGTTGTGCAATTAATTAGATTATTAAAACAACACCAGATCCTCGGGGCCCTGGAGCTGTGCATGTGAACATGGCAACTGTTCCATAATGCAGGAGGTTATATTTTATGTAAATGTAGAGACGGAACACAATGAAATCACGAGAAGCATTTCCAAAGACGTCACTGTTGAGTTTCTTTTCTGAAAACATCTGTGCGGGAGAAGCAGTACCTCCACCCACATACACAGTTCCATCATCGTATAAATCTAGCCTCTGCGTTGGCGCTCACAATACTTTAGTCACCCCAACGAAGATTACATCACATCAACATGTTTGGACATCTCCATGGAAATTCGACGATTTGAGAGAGTTTGTCCTCTTCTCTATCTTTCAAACACTCGCTGTGAGTCAGTTAGACTGTAAAGCAGTATTCGATGTAATTCAGAGCCGTTCAGAGAGTCCTAACCAGCCAGAGGACACTTTATTACGGGTTCGTTGCAGTTTTGTCTCCCTCTGCCATTTGTTTTCTGAACTGCAGAAGGCAACATGAATTTACAAAAATCCAGAAGAACCGTTTTTCCTCCGGTGAGGTCTTTGTCTGTAGTGTTGTGTTTCTTTTCCCTTTTTATGTAATTAACCTTGTCCTGGTTTAGTCTGTAAATTAGTATCTACAGCCTCTTGTCCTGGACTGATTTCTGCATTTTAACCCCACTTTGACTGCTCATCCTCCATCCTGCTGTGACTGAATCGATATCTCATCGCTACACTTCGCACTGCACCTGCTTAAAACCTCAAAATGTCCCTCTGGGTGGCTGTGATTTAAAGTGAGCAGCTCGCCTTTGAAGTCTTTTTGTTTGGTGCTTCTGGTTCCTCGACAGACTGTGAATGAGCCACAGGACTTTGTACATTGAAGCCCTTGAGTGTGCATCATTTGGTCCAGTGAACTGGAGGCTGGGTTTCAGGGCTTCACTACAAGCTCGTTTTTATTAAATTGTAGTTTTCGTATAAATGCTTCAGCACAAGGTCTAGAAGTGTACCTCCTACCTGTAATTTTGTAGTGTAGGTGAGGATGCACAATTCTGAGCTCTTTTGTTGCTGATATAGATCAGATAAGCAAGTTAAAGAGTTTAAAAGTATTATTTATGTTGTTACTTAAGTAGCATCTACTGCCCTTTGTTCCTCCTTTTGTGCTGATTTATACCACTACTCCAAAAGCTTATTAAAATACATTGAGCATTGATAGAACCGTAATAATCTGGTTGATTACATATGTAAGTACTTTCACTTTTGTTCCTCGTAAGCCAGGTGCTAACAAGAACTTTACAGTGAGGGTAGATCAGTTTGCTTCCGCTCCTTGCAGAATGCACAACTCAGCACGACACCACACTCATGTTAACATACAGCTCTTAAACAGTCTCTTAAATAGTCTCTTTCAAACGAAAATACCCGAATTTTGCATCTAACCTTGCTCACGAACTACAACAAAGTGTATACGAGGATTTTTTGGAACATGTCATTGTAATACAGAACAAGCAGTCTATCATTCTTACAACAAATAGCAAATAATCCATCCATTATCTGTAAACCACTCAATCCTCACTCAGGTCGCAGGGGGGGCTGGAGTCTATCCCAGCTGACTCAGGGCGAAGGCAGGGGACACCCTGGACAGGTCGCCAGTCTATCACAGGTCAACCAAGCACACTCACATTCACACCTACAGACAATTTAGAATCACCAATTAGCCTCAACATGTTTTTGGATTGTGTGGGAGGAAGCTGGAGAACCCGGAGAGAACCCACACAGAACATGCAAACTCCACGCAGAACGATGCCCCCACCAGGACGTGAACCGGCGACCTTCTTGCTGCGAGGCAACAGTGCTAACCAACTGCTCCACCTTGCAGCCCAAATAGTAAATAATGATACACAAAAATAAAACAAAAACATCTCTGTATGAACCCGCACGTTGTTGTAGATCAGTCTTGAGATTCCCAAATGTATGGGTCTCAATTTTTATTTCATTCAAGAGCCTAAAAAAACGATTCTAATATATTAAACATGATTAGCAGGAGTGTTTTGACCTCTCTGTCGGACACATTTAGGGTATAATGATGTCGCATTTGGAAGAAAGCAGTGACAAACAATAGAAAGACAATGTTTCGTGCATATATGCTGCTGTTCCACTGCATCATGTTCTAATGCTATAAAAATTCAGCACTTTGCAACAGCATTAGTTGTCCTCTTTTTTTTTTTTTTTACAATAAAAATGAAAAACTCATGTAAACAGCACACAGCAGCTCCTATAAAAAACACCCATAATATGTACAAAAGTACATATACAAATATCTTAAATGCAAAATACTGGTTGCCCAAGAGCAACAGAAGATGCCTTTATAGTGGCTACAACTTGTACAAAGGGACTGATTAAGTTCTGCTTTCAAAACAAAAGCGCCTTCATCTGAGATAAAACACGGTAACAGCTGCGGGCAGGTTCCAACACGATTATTTTGTGTGCCTCGCTTTGGTGCAACAGCTACACTCGAGATAAAAAAAAAAGAAAAAAAAGTAGGGCCTCTTGCAAAGCTGAACAGCAGGCAATCACACAGAAGCCAGGGAATGAATATCACCAAGTTCAAGTAGGTCAAGTGAAAATCACAAAGCTGAATCCAATCTCCTGCTCAGTTCCCTCCCTCTGGCTCCAACCGCGGGCCCAGACTCGGAGAACGCTCCTCCTCGTTTTGATCGTCCGTCTGGTAAATCTCATTGTCCACCATCGGCTGGACGTGACTCGGAGGCCTGTTGGGAAGAGGGGGACCTTGTTGGGACGGGTGCTGGAAAGAGCGATAAACGCCGGTCTCCATGTTGTCGCCACCAGCGTCTTTAGAGACCAGCGGCCTTTGTGAGTCTGTTTGTCCAGCGAAGGGCCGGTAAGTTTCGAAGTCTCCGTAGATGCCGATCTCTGCGCCCTTTTTCAGCAGGTGTGTGTAGACCAGCGTGTCCTCGATGGAGGCGTACACGTGGGCTTCGCTGTCCTCTGGGGTTGTTGGAAATCCATTGTGTCCCGGCAAGAAGCTGGTGCCATTTGGATTGTAGATGGACACCTGATGATCGAGCTTCTTTTTCTTCTTTCTGTTTGGCAGGAAAGACGAGATAATGACAGTTTTAGAGAACTTAAAATGAAGAGGCAAACCACTGAGTAGTTTGAAAAGGCAAAAATACCAAATACCTACTTACAACAAACAGATAAAACATTTTGAAGAGCAAAACACTCACCTAACCACCACACAGACTGCAGCCAGCACTATGGCAAAAATGACAAGCAGAGCAGCAACCACACTCAGGATGATGGTCAGAAGAAGGTCTGAATGAGAGAAAACAACAACAAATACCATATTTTATACATTTTTTTCTGTCACACTTGTCCAAATGCAAAGTCACAAAACAGCCATGCAAGCAGCTCTTGGAGGCCTATTTAGACTCCATGGTGAAATGGCATCCTCCCTCATCCCCCTCAGATCACCTACCAACAACCTAAACATTGTTCCAGACCAAAAACAACCCTGAAGCAGCAGCCTCCCTCAGCAGGGCGAAGCAGAAACTGCTCAGAAACAGCTCAAGGAACACAACAAAGAGCCAACCCAGCCCACAAACTCCCAACAACCCAACAGGACTGAGCATCTATGGGATGGGGAAGAACAAGCCTGATCCACGGAGGCCCTACCCTGCAACCCACAAGACTCAAAGAATCTGCCACCAAGCACCTGGTGCCAGACAAGATAGGACACTGCCAGAGTTCCCGTGTCCATGATCCAACAGGTCAGAGCTCTTTTAGTGGGACAAGGAGGACCTACACAATGTTAGGCAGGTGGTTTTAATGCTGGTATATGGTCAAAATCTGGAAAATTTTTGATCTCACAATAGTGCTTGAGGAGAAGCCAGAGCAGACCCCAGTTATTACAACTCACACAACATAGTTTGAACCATATTTCATGACTGTCAATCCAGCAGTTGTTAAGATATTTCAGTTTGGATCAAAGTGGCGCATCAACAGACTGTGCGGCTAGCTGTCCTGAAACCATGGATTGCTAAAAAAACAAAACAAAAAAAAAGACAGACATAGCCTCTGAGTCTGAAAAGTAAAGCCTTATAGCGGCAATCTTTCTAATGACCAGCAGGGGGCGACACCTTTCGTTGCAAAACAAATAACGATCGCGTTGAAGTCCGTGTGAAAGTCACCCACTTCTCACTTGATTTGTTACTGCAGCAAACATTTTCCTATTAGGTTTGTGGTGTCAATTGCTTGTAAAGTGTCTTTCAATACATAATAATGTTAATTTCTTATACGATGGTCCCATTTAGAGAATAACAGACAATAAAGCAGGTATATTTTAGGGTATGGGCAACTTGTGATTGACAAGTCACTACTCAAGGTCCTCTTAATGTTCCCCAAGGCTCCAGATCCACTTCTTTGATCCACCTCTCAGTTGTTACATCATGTTTCAAAAAAGCAAAATGGCGACGGACAAAATGCCAATCATGAGACTTCAAAACAAACCGTCCACAAACCACTGGGTGACTTCTCTGTGGTTGTGTCCTTCAGTCTATGTGAGCCAAACAGCTGAGTCATTGCTTGTTTTGAACAAATTAGAGACTCTGCTATTCATAATCACAAGCTGCTTTTCTAACAGAGCAATGCATGTTATCTCTATTGTAGGGCTGAACAATTTGTTAAATATGGATAACTGGAATTTTTCTGACAGAGCAGTTCGACTTGCAATGTGATTTTTTTTTTTTCAATTCAAGCTTCAGTTTAGTATTCACTCTGCAAAACATTTAAAACAGGATGGAACATTACAAAACAACTTAGACAAGTTAGTTTCAAGAGTTAAAAACCTGTGCTTGATACGTTGCACAACATTTATCCTAAAAAGCCTTTGCAATTTGCTAATTGCATTGTTTCAGATTTTAAACCCATTAACCGTTCCACCCTATGTTTTAAAAAAGAACAACAGAAAGAATCCACAGCGATGCTCTGTATGAGGGCTTGCTTAGGCGCAACATTGTGTTGAGCTAAACCATCAGCATGGTAGCATGTTTGCAGATATATTGTTAACATGTTCACGCAGGTTGAAAATACAAGCAGGGTGTGACCTGACAGTCAAGCGGTTAGAGTGCATACCACTTGGGCATGAACACTGTCAACAGAGATTCTCTTCAATTCCTGGTTTCCTGTACTGCATGCCATTCTGCAGTTATTAGTCATGCATCTCCAAATATATCCTTCTCATTGTCTTACTTCTCAAGTCGACAAAATCCGGACATAAAACAATAAACCGTTTGAGTAAGAACTCATGAAAAAGAAGATGTTTCCTTAATAGTTTTCCTCAAAAACAACAGACAGTGTTTTATCCAGTAAAACCAAAGAGACACGACTGATGTGCTTTTAGAGCTTTTTGGATACAAAGAAACGGTCAAGCTTACAGTAATTCAGGCATATATTCATCTTCTGGAGGACCGCTGGGTTCTTTTGGACTTTTAGTTTTATTTCGGTGCCGTGTGAGCTCAAGACTCCCATAAAAGACAGAGAGTTAGCTGGTACTGTGGGGTGTCAAATGATATTGCAAATAAGTAGTGCAAGATCTGGTGCAATTCATGAAAACAACAAAACACCAGAGCCTTAGAGACCTGGGGTGCTGTGATATCGACCACTTTGGTTCTCCAGTTTTGCCTTAAAGCCAAGAATCACTTGCAGTCAATGAGCCAGACTTCCCGTCTGCCAGCTAGATCTTTACTGCATGTCACTTTGAGAAATCGCACCAAAATGGCCCCCAAAACAGAGAACATAACCATGTTCATCATCTGAGTTCAGCCTGTGAGAATTTGCTAATTCAAAACTAGCCACAAAGAACAACTTGGGCTGTTTGAAATCTCATTGGGTTTCCTGGTGTTTGGTCATTATCAATGAAGAAACTGAAGGTCTGAACTAAAACTAATTCATCCAATAATTGTTGAGATATTTCAGTCTGAACCGACTGACACTGCTGTGATAAAGCCACTAACATGGATCAGAGGTACAACAACGCACTTGTAGAAATGATGTGAAACAATGTCATAAATCTATTATGTAAATCTAGTTTCCTCTTACTCTTGGCCTTCTGCAGGGTGATCTTGGTGATGACGCGGAACTCTCCTCTCTCAGGCATGCAGCTGGACATGTTGAGGTAGAAGCTCTCGGAGACAGTGATCTCGCTCTCGGCTTCCTCGTCCTCCCGGCGGCTGTAGTCCTCCTCAAGGTTGCCGATTCTCTGCACCCTGATGCTGGTGTGACCTTTGTTGCATTTGGGCTGGCTGAGGTTGGCAAACTTAAGGTGTGCATCCATCTTTGGGGGAACATTGACAATCCAGGAGACGGTGGAATAGGATTTCATTCCTACCGGCCAGCCAGGAGTACCCACAAGCACCGGGGCGTCTTTCGATGGAGATATGGTGTATATGTACCTTTCTGGAAATCAGTAAGAAAGAAAAGATTGGTAAACATTACTGCAGAAATATGCATTTATTTATTTGTAAATTGAATTCAGTTGGAGCTCTTTGCTACCTCGTATCTCCTTTTCAAAACTGGCGTTCAGCACATGCTTGTAGTAGGACCTCAGTGTTCTACCCGGGAAGCTGGGTGTCCAGGTGACGGACACATTGGTGTGGATTTTGACTTCCTGAATGGCTCCACGGGGGCAGAAGTGTCCAATAGTGGTTCCATCATCTTCAGTCAGTTTGATAAAGATGCTGCCGTTGCACGGCTGTCCAGGCAGGGACTGTTTGAGGGGTCCGGTGGGGGATGTCAGCAGTACGGTGCCGTGCTGACCGGGGCGAAGGGTCCAGGTGACGCTGCTCAGCGAGGCGGGGAGGCAGGACGGCAGCTGAGGCACCAACAGACGGACGGGAGTCTTGGGGCAATCTTTGAGATGACTGCAGCCTGATAGGAATCAAGACATGAGACAGAGCAAGTAAAGGGTCACTTCTCTAAATAAAAAACTTTTAGTAGCACAAACATTTAATAAATTGTTTAAAACACACTAAAATACAGCTACAGGTAGATGCAAGTATGAAGGTGTTTGACAAATACGATGATCTTTCCAGCATTGAGACTGGTTTGACTGGTAATGAATGATATTACAGTAAAACACAGCTACAATAATACAAAATATAGCTTCATAACATAATAACTTGTAAATATGGTACATTAATGAACACTTAAAATGCATTTAAATGTGCTACATTGCACAATAATATAATAAAAGCTGCAGTGCGGCTGCAGACCACTGGAATGAGGCTCACTTTTTTTTCTTTCAAGGTAGGAAGTAGATTATAAAACATCTGCATAATCTGGTTGAAATCTACGAGTATATGAACATTTTTAAGGGGTGGACGATCACATCTTCACTTAATCGTACGTCATGCAAAAGAGCCACGAAAAACAAATGTTGAAAGTTGCCTTATCGATTTTTAAGGTGTGCTTTATTGATTCATGTCAACTCAAGCGCAGAGCAACGTGCAAGTAAGCATTCCACCTTCAAAGTTGTCAATAGCTGCCCATTGCTTTTGAGCTTTTTTCCATGTCGTCTACACCATAACTACAGAGGTTAATCAAATCAAAAATGGATTTTAAAACCTTACTTACGCCTATACATATCATTTTAAATCCATCAATGTTGATTTTTAAAGTTGGGCTGCAACACATTTATTAAAAAATGTCTTAATCTTTCGTCTCCCATTCATAGTCATTTGATTGATATCAATATACTGGGACAAAAATGGATAAAATCCTTTAGACCAGAGCATTAAGCTGTTCTTCTTGTTCATAAATGAGCTGCAACATGATGACTCCTTCGCGTGGTCAGTTATTCTTGACTGTTTCTGTTTGGATAAGGAGGATCAGAATTCCACTGTACGGTGTAATGGTTTGGTTTTCTGTGCATATGACAATAAACCTCTTGAATCTTGAGTCTAACGTCCCACACACACTACCTGTTGCATCAGAGGTGCGCTCTGGTGCTTAAACAAACAGCACCTCGTCTCTAAATATAATGACTTATAATCCATGTAAACTGTTTATACACTGCTTATAAAAACTAGACGGGGGCGTTCAAGTGTTACCATGTAATAAAAAAAACCAAACGGGCTGCTTTCAAGCCATAATCGTTAAGAAGTCAAGCACAACATGTCTTTCCAGAAACAAAGTCTGTGTTACTGTAGATAATCCACAGACATTGTTGGGAACAGTCCAACTGGAACTAACTTCCACATAATACAAAAATGGTCTCTATGAAAACTGTTGGTTTAAATATTATCTAAAGATTACACTGTCAGATAAGAACAGCATTAAAACCCTTTAACTGGGGCCTGTTGTGCCTGAAGTGGTCATTAAAACACTATTTTACGGTGGTTATAGATGCTCTATCAGTGGAAATCTACATTGTGTTCTTGACATTTTGATACAAGAGTCATAAAGATGTATTTTTCCAGCTCCAGAGACTCAAACCTGGATTTACCTATGACTCTTTTGGCTGTGACTTGCACGTCGTCGGGAAGGCAGTCCCGGAAAGAAAGTTTACTTCTCGATGTGACTGTAATCTTCTCCTTTTTCACCGAGTTCATCTCCATCTCGCACTTGGAGGCCGGTTTCACCTTCTCGATGTGGAGCGCAAGGCCCTCCGCTTTGCTGAGATCCACTTCACACAGCACTAGAGGGAAAAGAGCACAATCAGACGTGACTTTTTATCTTCCGATCTCAAACGCGAGCACACCAACGCGTGGGCACGACTGACACAGATGATTAAAGCACTAGTTTCCTGCTAGTTCCGTCACTCGTGACTCAGAAGTGAAGCAATCCGTGAGCTCCCCAAAGACGTGAGCGCTCAAGAGAGGCTACGAGGGCCGCGCTCCACTTCACTGTTACTCATCAGTAACGTCAAAAAAAAAAAAAAGGGGGAACCCTGACTAACGAAACTGCACCTTGTTGTAACTGAGGAGAAAGACTTTCAGACACATACCTGCTGCAACATGTAGAGGAGACATCAGTCACGTTTACACGAGCTCTTCAGCAGCAATACCATCACACTAAAAATATTTGCAGCCTTGATACTCTATAATTTTCTCTATAGTCATGAAATAAATGGTTGACACTATCAGACTACGTAAGATATTTTAGAAAAACACTGGAAAGTGTCAGACTAACAGAATATTTATTCAGCCTTCTTTGAAGTTTTCTCCTTTTACTGCTTTTCAACACTGAATCAATTTAATTTGGATTGTTTTTAAAAGTATTGACAAAAAAAGGCTCTTTAATGTCAAGGTGAAGCCAAATTTCTACTCGTCATGAAATAAACATCTGAAGTGATGAAATCGACAATGTAAAATCGAAAATGACTGCACAAGTGTTCACCCCGTCTACAGTGACTAACCAAACGCAACACAGGTCCAGCCAGTTGGTGCTAAGAGTTACTGTCATCTAAGTACATTCTTAAGTAATAGTATATACAAATACCTGCATCTGGAAGGTTCAGTTACTGATGAATCAGTATTCCGGGATATAATTACACCGTAGAGACAAAAAAAAAAATAAAAAAATCAAAACACGCTAAGCAACTTTTTCAACAGGTTCGGTAATGAATACATAATCTGTTTTCTCCTTGACATGAAAGAGTCTTTTTGTAAATTCTTGTCAAAAAAGCCAAATTAAATTGACCATGATTTAATTGTAAAACTTCCAAGAGTGTGAATAGTCTCTATTGGCACTGCTACTTATCTGATTTATGACTTTTTGACCGCTCTGAGACAGAACAAACACCAGCACACTTACATATTATTACCTTACATCATCGAAAGGGCCGACTAATTGCTAAATACCACATCTAGCAGAAATAAAGCAACTTCAGCATTAACTATGAGTCTGGACATCTGATTAATCCAGCGCTAACATTTACCCTCCTTTTAGCTCGGTTTTGGTCTCCACCAACTCTGAAGTAACGCTTGACTTTGTTCATCAGCTTCTCAATAACTGTGGCTTTTAGAGCCTTTTAGCACAAAACAACTAAGTCTGAAAATGACAACAACAAAACCTTAAAGTTGCAGGAAAGAAAAAAATAAATAAACTAAACACAAGCCTAAAGGCTAAAACGCTCCCTGAAGCCGAGGAGTCAGATGATAGATCACTGCGCTCATCACTACAAGCAACATCTTCCACATGACACATGATCCACTGTGTATTTAAAAACAGCTCATAACGGCTTTAAATTCCTTTTGCTCAACTTTGAAACCTTTAAACCAGCCTTAGAAATCACAGGTGTAGTCCACATCACATCCAAAATCTAAATGTTTCTCTGACTCGTGGCCTATCTGACCACCTTATGGAAATCATACGAACAAAGATGAATTTTATTCTCACAGATTAATCGTTGCAACTGAGCTTGCTTGAGTTCCTTGAAGACGTTTCACCTCTCATCCAAGAGGCTTCATCACATCTGACTGACTAGCTCCAGATTCGTATATCCTTAAGGAGCCACTAACACCTGAGTGTTGGACCTGAGTGTTAACGGCTCCTTAAGGATATCTGCAACTCCCAACTAGTCAGTCAGAACTGATGAAGCCTCTTGGATGAAATGTCTTCAAGGAACTCAAGCGGTTGCTACGATTAGTCTACGAGAGTAACCATGACCTGGATGATTGAGAATCTTCACAGACAAGCAAATATGAACATTTGAGACACTTCACAAGAATCAACCACGTCAGAGGAGCAAGTTCACCGCCAAACCCAAACTCTACCACAAAGCACAGATGATGAACAAACCTGGTGGACCTGCAGCCGACACCTTTAGGTTGAGGGAGAGTCCTGCAGAACCAGCTCGTTTGCTTCGTTTTCTGTCCATCTCGCAGTTCCTCAGCGTCAGCGAGAAGCTCCCCTCGTTCTGGACCGGCTGGGTGTCCGTCAGCCTCAGAAACAGCGTCCATCTCCCTTTGCTGCTGTACTCCACTGCCGTCTCCTTCCTCAAACATTTCGGCTCTGTGAGGTTTCCAAACTGGACGGCCACCCTGTGTTTGTCCGGGACCTGAAAGTACCACTCCATCGTGTCGTCGTTGGGGAAACTCTCCGGGTAGTTTGGCGTAAGCAGCTCTGAGGACGAGGCCCCTTTCGGTAACGTCAGTGAAATTTTGGCAAGAGCTAGAAAAGAGAAAAATAAATGAAACCGTGAACTTTGAAATACACACGAGAGAATAGCTGTTCAGGGACGACAAAATGAAACTTACACCTGATTTCTTCCCCAACAGATGCAGCAAAGTGGCCATTCTGCAGCCACTGGCCTTTTGGGAGATCCAGAGAAAAGCTGCCCTGATTCAGTATCTGAACACTGCTGATAGTGCCCATTTTGCAGAATTTCCCCAAGGCTACGCTCCCTGTAGCCTGCAGGGCCTGGAGGCTATAGGTGTGTCCGTCGGGACATCTCTCAGACGGATTAATCTGTCTCAGACCCGTGTTGGCGAAGTCTAATTTGACAGCCTTGAGCTCCGAGGCCTTCAAGTTCCAGGTGAAGGTGCGGTTTAAAAACCGCAGGAAGAAGCCTCCGTCGGTCTGGTTGATGAGGCCGCTGCACGACTTGGAGGTGCATTCTGAGGGGAAGAAAGGGATATTTGATATTTGTTTATTCAACAAATAAATCCACATATACTTTATAACAGAGATACCGAGACTCACCGATATCTCTCACAATGTCTACGGTGAGGTAATTTTGAGGTTCTGCGCATCTGAACCACAGTGAGACAGGAGAACCGTGTTGTATCGTAAGAGAAGTGTTGCATTGTTCTGATGGCCAGTCGATGCAAACTTGGCAACCTTTACCCTGACGATTGTTGATGACGATGGTTGTGCCGCGGTCAGGAGCAATTCTCAACCCAGGGACTATTGGTAAAAAGAAAAAAAAAGCAAACAGTGTGACGATATAATAACGAGAAATGGGATAAAACATGTCCAGTCCTGAGCGATATTTGGAAATAACACAGCTTGGATGAAACAGAATAAGTCTGGTTAAATGTGCGGTTTGATTTGCTGGTAACAGAGTTAAAGTGACTAACTGCTCTGAGAGACGAGGCCGCCAGCTTGGCTTCACTCCTTCTATGACTAAGCAGGCCTTTGCTGAGCAAACACAGTCCTGTTCACACACAACAGCACCTGATGTGCTGCTCCAATCAGCTCCCTGTTGTTGCACATATCCTGGTTTACAATCTCTTTCCCTGTATATGTATATAAATATAAGCAAAACAGACACACGCTGTTATCTGACACATGAGATTCACTCTGCAGTTCTTCTGGATGGGGAGGGTTTTGGTTAATCAGCAACAGAAAAAACGCTCACTTTAGTCATCTACAACAACAAAAAGGCCACAATATTCCCACTTTGAACGTCATGTAGTCACGTTAGAGCCGTTCCACGTTCATCCACGTTTAATTTGAAGCACAATCAGTGTCAATATTTCAACAGATATCAGATCCAACATCCTGACAAGTAAGCTTGAACTTACCTCCTGAGGTGGAGACGATGAATACACGGAGTAAAATCAGCAGAGCGGGTCTTAGTAAGAACATGCTGTCGCTCACTGTAGTTTAAAAAAAAAAAAAAAAAAAACTTAGATCCTAAGAGAAAGCGGTGGAGATCAGCGCACAGTTCATTTCTTGTTATCCAGAGCTGGAACGGTCGTGCGCCACTTTTTTTTTTTCCTCCTCTGAATTTTACGCGAAGCTCAGCTCGGAGTTATTGCGACGCAGCAGCTCCTTCACTTCCTAATGCGAGAATGTGTGTCAGCAGCAAGGAAGTGTTGACCTCAGGTAGGATAAAGGCGTGGCCACGACGGCCATTTTGCCAGGTGCACACTTCAGGTATGAGTAATAATGATTTAAAAAAAAATGCTGCTGAAAATAAAATCTTGCAAAAAAGAATCAATTAAAAAGTTGCTTACAGTTAAAAATCAAAGTACATGTTGTAAAATGTATTATATGCTATATCAGATGATGATTCCCAGTATTAAAAATATCCCAATTTCTTTTTCTTAATGGAGATGTTTTTTGTTCCACTGACTGGTAAATGCAATGATTTGTAGCTGGTCTATACATTTTTACAGCTAACACCCTCCCTGTTTGCTTTTGTGCCAATGTTAGGGCTTGAATGCGGTGCAAAATTCATTTTTCCAGCTTGCCAACATCACATATATGTCAGTGAGCTCAGCAGGAAGTGAACAGTTTTGCAGCTTGATCAGGCCGATGAAGCTTTTCCTGCCTGAACTTGCCACAGCAACTCATCTAGATGACATCAGTAGAACTTTGTTAAGCATGGCAAAGAGTAATTCTGCGTCTCCTCACTGTTTTTACGCTGGTCATGAAATAATCAGGAGGGACAGAGATGCTCTCACCAACATGTGCTGATACAGACTTTGCAGAATTTGTAGTGAATCAATTAAATTTGATGAACCTCCTTGTCAGAATTTAAAGTACTTGGACCTGCTACAGGATTAATATTCTGCTCATTATATATGTGTGCATCAATAATTTAACACCATGAACGGGGCTATATTCAGATGTTAGAGTATTTTATGTATAATAATTCCATGCATTCACCGAAGCAGAACAAATGTAAAGAAATTTGTAAAATTGTGGAATTATTAAATAGGTACAGATTTTTTCAACATACACTCCAAAAAATTATGTTTGTATTTAAAAGAAAAAAGAAAAAAAAAAAGCAGCAGTTTGCATAAATAGTTTTGAGTTATTACAACTTATAATTAAATTATGTACAACCAACAAATTCTATATATATATATATTTAGGGGAATTATTTTTCCTCTGTAATCAAATTTATTATTAATTTCCGGTCTTGACTGTCTAAAGTTATGCAGATATGTTAGGATAAAGGAGGAGACTTGAAATCCTGAAAGTGAGGAAAAATTACAACATCACAGCAATTTTATTAAATGACCTCAACTTGAATTTTGTTTTAAATCAACTAATGCAGAAATTTGAGTTTAAATTACACACGATGTTATGTTGGTGCAACGCTATGTCAACCCAACTGATCAAAATAATGTTTGCACCTTAAAAAGTTTACCTAAACCTGAATTTTTATCTTGCAAAGATGCAATTAATTAAGTGGTCTGAATATGGCCCGTAAATTACTTTTACTCTGCCTGCATAGTTACAAACTTTACTACAGTTATTCATGTTCACAATTTACCAGTAAACAGTGATGGAGCCGCATTTTTTCCCCTAAAGCTGCAAATCATCATGTCAAAAAAAAAAAAAAAAAAATCAATTTGACATTGTGAGTGCAAAGTATTCCTTTGAAATAAGTCTGAAGTAAACTGATTATTACTACAGAGAACAGATCAGAGGGAATCTGATAGGCTATAGCCTATAATCGATTTTTATTTCCATTTAAACCGCTGGAACATTAATACAAATAAACACTTATATTGAACTTGACAGTAGAAATCTAACAATATAAGTATTGAAATTTTCTCTATATCAGTCATAAACAACATCTATTTGTCAGAATTTATTGGAAAAAACCCTATTACACTGACTTCTATATGAGCATGACCATAGGTTAGATACTGTATACTGGATGTGACGGCACAATTTACGCACCGTTGTCAGTGCAAAAGTCCTACACATGAGATAAGGCAAAAAACTTTCTATAAAGATTAAAAACTATACAAACACTGTTTAAATAGAGAAAAGTTTTGCACAGTTTACGCTGACATAATCTATAGGAAGGCCTACACGGGTATACAAAACACATTGGTCCCAGTATAGATTGGCTAGTATAATAATCCTTCATACTTTACCTTGAGGAAGGGTCAAAGAACACCCCAAACTAAAGCATCTGATCATAAAGTTCTCCGCAATCATTCATTCATGTGAACAATTGAATGGCTACAATTATAGTATAGGCAGCACAGGCTATAATTATGATGATTATTTCAATTATCTCGGTCTCCTCTGCTCCATCCCATTAGGCAGAAATCCTGCAATGATCGGTACCGGCCATATGAGAGCAGCAACACTCCACACAATGATGACCAAAGTCATGAAACAAGCCACAAGTGTCGACTCGATGGGTTTTCTGTTCAGCCTCCAACTTTTGTCCCCCTTCAGCTCGTCGAGGCTGAAATCCACGCAGCAGAAAGTGACCTGATCGCCGCTCTGCTGGCCCCGCAGCCTGCCCTGACCAAACCTCCGGTACCGGGACATCCCGCAGCCGACGCACAGTCGCAGCTCCTGCTGACCCCCGGTGACCCCGAGGTGCTCGATGACAACCGGCGAGATCGCCCGGTTGAAAGAGGCGGAGAAAAAAGCCCTGCCGTGGTTGTTGGTGGTGTAGATGAGCACGTCGCACTGGAAGCCGAAGCTGCTGTCCCAGCGCGCCACCAGCGAGGTGGGCAGCAGCCGCTGGACGCTCACGTTGCACTGGGACAGAGTCTGTAGGGAGGAGGCGTCGGCCGAGGCGTCGCTCTCCTCCACGGACCTCTTGGAGAAGCGTACGTCCACCTCCAGGTTGGCCAGGAACCTGTTGGAGGAGTTGATGGGCGGCAGCAGCAGGTCATCGTCGCTCCAGCCTTGGCATCGCGGGAGAAGTGCGGCCACCGCGGTCAGAGCCAGCAGGAGAGTCGGAGAGTTGTTCAGCATGGCACAGGGCGCGTCTCTCCTGCTCGCATGGTGCTGTGACGATCCGCGGCGCGACGGACGAGATGTGCAATGTTTGAAAAACGCCAGTCGCTGGTGATTTTTAAAAACGCAGCTCCCCGTGGAGAGATTCAATTCCCTGCCCGCCTGGTAGAAATGGAAACGTCCAAAGCCTGTCACATGCGCGCATCTCCCTCCTCCCTGCCGTTGGATGCTTTCCTCCTGTCTCGTTCTCCAAATGTGCCCTGTGGTCGCCGTACAGGAGGAGCCGAGCTGAGCTGCGCCGTGCGCTCACAGCTCCGAGCTCCACTGACGCTCCGCCAGTTCAGGTGTGCGCGCGGAGACCAAAACACAGAGGAGTAGTGAGGAGAGAGTCTCCAGTGCGCAGGGACAGAACACACATCTTCCAGTCAATAATACTGACTTGCACATGCTCAGTTAAACTTTCTGGATAGAAAAAAAGTACTCAAATTCTCACAGTTTTGAAGATAACATCCGGTGTTGGTGTGGCTGTCTGTTGATATGAAGCTGATTCCTTACAACCAGTTTCTACCCGTGGAGAAGGAAACAAGTTACATATTGCATCCAGGTGCTGCAGAGATAATCCTGTACCTGCAATCTGTGGCCAGTTTATCAAACTATTCTTCTGAGACAGTGTTCAGAGTAAACTGTGCATGTATGATCAGGTCTACAGTGAGGTCATAAGGTCTCCTGGTGCAACCTCATGTCTCCACTGAGGTGATTCTGATCACACACCACAGAGAAATGCTCTAGGATTGGTCTAGGACAGTTTGGGTTTTTTGAATATTTAATATTTTCTATAGCTGAAAATGTTGCCTGACAATAGTGCATTGAAAAACCTAGGACTTGTGACCTGAGTACTTCTACAATACCAGTGTTAACCAGACATGACACATGACAAATGCTGAATGCTTTAAAGCTTTTCTGGTGGGGACGCATTCAATCCTTTGTCTATTAGTTCATTTTGTTGGCTTAAAATGAGTCAGGTTTAAACATATGAATATAATGAGCATTCATTTGGATCACCCAATCAATGCACATTATCTGTGGCCGTGCATTAATTGGTATCAACACCTACTTAACTGAGTAGCATGAAGCACACTCAGCACTGGTCCCAGTAGACCGCCTGTAGAAAAACCATCACATTTCACTCTGGTGTAACATCACTGCCTTTAAATCTGTGCATTATGAATATTTTGTACATTTAAGAGACTCTGTAATGCAATTTTTTTCCTACATGTTAAAGAATCTGTGCCATGTCATTCTTTTCCTACATATAGAAGAGCTCAACATTTTCCACATTCAAAAGAATCTGTACAGCATCAGTATATTTTTATATTTCTTGTCTAATTTTTTTTCTTTCTACCCATTTCCTCTGATTTTTGCACTATCCCCTTTCCTACTATAACACTGCACATTTCCCCACTGTGGGATTAATAAAAGCTGAATACATTCATGGTACCCAGAGGATGAATCCCATGGACTCCAGTGATCATCCTGTAAACCCAGATTGGTCTGCGTCCCAGTGAGGACGCCAAAAACAGTCCAAAAACATGTTGAGGTTAATTGGTGATTCTAAATTGTCCGTAGGTATGAATGTGAGTGTGTCTCCCCTGCCTTTGCCCTAAGTCAGCTGGGATAGACTCCAGCCTAGTCAGGATTGAGCAGTGTATAGATAATGGATGGATGAGTTATGGTCCTTTTAAATACCCTGAAAAAGTAAGTACTTTGGGACCACCAGCATGAGATGAGCAATCAAAACTGACCTGAACTGCACCAAGTGATGCCTGCTCAAGCTGTTTCCTTTGCACTGGACATGCCTCTCTCCCAATACTCTCATTCAGTCGCTAAATTTGATGGTCAGTAATTACCTTCAGTACTCAAGATGTCAGTATCGGAGGTAAGTTACTACTCAAGTTACTCTGTTGTCATTGCCAACACAAAGCTCCTTCTGCTGGACAGTCCAAGTCATAAACCACTTGTGCCAAAATCAGGAGTGTTGAACAAGTAGACCTTGAGTACATTAATGGAGTTATATGTGCAAACAGATTCTTGGTGTCAGCAAGTATGTGGTGCAGTTCTACCAAATCTCCCATGTTTTAATCTGTAGCCCCTTTGGTCACATATGAACTCACAATACTTACACTTTCTCTGCATTTTCACATGAGCCTATAAAAGAGAACATAAAACATTTCAGCTCAACAACTCAACTGCAAACACACTAAATTGTTCAGCAACTTAAGTTAATGACTTCTGACCTCATCCTTAGAAAAGCTTAAGCTACTGCCATAAATGTAACCCTGACACTATTTTTAATCGGTACGCTACAGTTAGCCACAAGTACACACCAATGCTAACGTTATAAACAGTTACAGTAGTAAACACTGATGTGACTGCTAACGTTGTAGCTAACCGACAGAAACACCGCCAGCAAACACTTGTACTAACGTTATGAACAGTGAACCCCCAAAAAATACAAACAATATGTCTATCTTGCTGTGCAGACCAAATTTCTGACCTTGAGTTTAACTTTGAACTATCATCTAAGGTCAAATGTAACATCACCAACGGAAAGCCCCAACGTGGTTGCCTATCTGCACCAAAGATCATAAATCTGTCATGAACTCACTTAACAGACAGGTGGACACAAATGCTGGACACAGATCGGTTCAGGCAAAAGGCAGGTTTAATGACAGGCAGGGTTAGGTACACAGGTAGACAGTCCAACAGGCAAAAGCATCCAGGAATCGACAGGCAGAGACAAGGTCCAAAAGGCAGAAACAAGGTGGTGAACAAAACAGGCTGTGACTTGACTATGATAACGCTGGTACGAGGACCGTGAAGTGCAACGAACTGGCGATGAGACAGTGAGACACACAGGGTAATATACACGAGGTAATGAGGGGAGATGGGAAACAGGTGTGGGGAGGTAATCAGGGAACAGGTGAGACAAGACAGGTGCAGAAAGCAAAATTGGAACAGAAACACCCTGTGAAGTGATTTCAAAATAAAACAGGAAAGACGAGACATAAAGTGCGGACATGAACAGAAACTTGACAGACATGACAAAATCTACCTTCCACCCTTTTGAAGGTATTTTGGAAAAAGGTGACCTTTGACCTCTGGCAGGGCTTTTTTTTTTGCACTGATTGAACCCAAAATCTAATAATTCAGAGGAGATGCCCTTCCTAGCTCATCTGTAAAATATCAACTTGTTAGATCTCAGCACTTGAGCTAGAGACTGTTCACCGACACACAGAAGGGACTGATTACTCTGTAGCTGCAACTACTGCAACGATAATAAGTAATAGCCACTAAAAAGTTTAATTAGGAACAAAATCTGGGTTTACAATGCACCTCTTTACTAGCAGCCAGCAGGTAAAGTTTTTACTTATTTTGTGAAACATTAAAGAAAACAGACATTCATGGTTCTAGGTTTATAGTGAAATATCTCAACAAATGTTTGATGGATTACCATTAAATTTCCTAAAAACACTGAAGCCTCCTTCTGGATAAAATAAAACTAAATTAAAAAAAAGGTGATTCCCTAACATTTCCTGTATAGTGACACTGTCTGCTCAAAATTTCCCTTTGAATGTGACCTCAGTGTCCTCAGGGGGCGCAACAGCCCATAATGTAATGAAAGATATACAGATGACTTGTTTTTTTGTGCTGAAAGTAATGCACAGCTTATTTTCTTATTTAATTTCTGTGTGTAAGAATTCGTTGATGCTTTGATATCGGTAAAGGCCACTAAGCTGAGACACACAATGGGATTTCAGGTGACAAAGGCAGACAGCATTACAGCAAGGTCACACCAACGACTTTGACTGACGTTTCATTTGAGCTAAAAGATAAGAAGTTAATCTGCAACCCACACAGGAAAGATTAGCTTCTGAACCTTTATTTGTTCGGAACAGATTCACTGAGTTCACCCTGATTGTTGGGCCAATTCAATGAAATTCAATACAGTTTTACAATTACAATTTACTGTATAGGTCATGTCAAGGTGCTTTTATATATATTTTATATTATATATTACAGAGAGAAATGCAAAAAAAAATAAATTCAAAGATTCCCTTTGAATG